TTCGTTGTTGGTTGCCTTGAATTCACACCTAATCGCCTATTCTATTTGATCTCCTTCTGGTGACGTTAAGACAATGCCAAGTCCTGTGCCATTGATTTTACTCGACCCGTCTACCTGGAGAGTCCATATGCTTGTTGTCGGTCCATTCGTCAAGCAGAAAAGTTCTCTTTGGGCCAAAACCTGTGAGTTAGGTGTAAAATCAACGATGAAATCTGCGATTACCTGAGATTTGATGGCAGTGCGGGGTACAAAGGAAATATCATATTCACTTAATTTGACAGCCCATTTGGTTAGTCGTCCGGACAACTCGGGTTTATGGAGTACTTGTTTTAGTGGAAACGATGTCATGACTACTACCGAATGGCTTTGGAAGTACGGTCTTAGCTTTCGAGCTGCACTAAAAAGTGACAAAGCTAATTTCTCCAGTTGGCTATAGCGGGTTTCTGCATCTAATAATGCCTTGCTAACATAGTAGATTGGGAGTTGCTTTCTACCTTCTTCGCGGACCAAGACTATGCTGACTGCCATCTCCGAAACTGTCAAGTACATGTATAGTTGTTCTCCTTCTTTAAATTTTGACAAGAGTGGTGATGATGTCAAATATTGTTTGAGTTGCTGAAGTGCTTCTTCCCATGCCGAGGTCCATTCAAAAGTTTTATTTTTCCTTAATTTGTTATAGAACTTTTAACATTTCTTTAAAGATTGGGAAATGAACCTGTTAAGTGCTGCAAGCCTTCCAGTAAGCCTTTGAACTTCCTTGATACAAGTTGTTGATGGAATGTTAATGATTGATTGGATTTTGTCCGAATTTGCTTCAATTCCCCGTTGGGTTACTAAGTAACCTAGAAACTTGCCAGAGGATACTCTGAATGAACACTTGGACGGATTAAGCTTCATGTTGTACTTCTTTAGAACCTCAAAAGACTACTTAAGATGGTTGATGTGTTGCTCTGCAATCAAAGACTTCACCAGCATATCGTCGATGTAGATTTCCATGGATTTTTTGAGTTGCTCAACGAACATACAATTTACTAGTCGTTGATAGGTTGCACCCGCGTTTTTGAGTTCGAATGGCATAACCTTATAATCGAATGTGCCTCGCTCTGTCATGAAAGCGATTTTCTCTTGGTCAGCTGGGTGTATCAATATCTAGTTGTACCCGGAGAAAGCATCCATGAAGCTTAGAAGCTCATATCCAGCTGTTGAATCAACCATCATGTCTATATGTGGAAAAGGGAAGCTATCCTTCGGACATGCCTTGTTTAGGTCTATAAAATTGATGCAAACTCTCCACTTACTGTTCTTCTTTTTCACCACGACCACATTTGCTAGCTAATTTTGGTAGTTGACTTCTCGTATGGAACCTGCTTCCAAAAGCTTTTGGACCTTTTCATTAATGATGCGGTTTTGTTCGAGCCCGAATCTTTGTCGCTTCTATTTGATCGGAATGTAATGGAGTTCAACATTTAATTTGTGTGTTATTACCTCCGGGTCAACACCGGTCATGTCAGTATGGGACCAAGCGAAACAGTCATGGTGTTCCATGAGGAACTTGATCAGGCGCTGCCTGATCTCTGGTTCTAGCTTTGCTCCGACTCGAGTTTTGTGATCTGGGAAGTCGAGGTGGATCTATACTTCGTCTAGTTCTTCCACATTTAGTTGATCTGGGATGGTCGGCTAGGATTGCTGTAATTGCTATAAAGGAGATCAGTCAGAGCGGAGTGAATTCTAGTAACACTCTCTGGAATCCATTTGGTCGCCAAGAATTTCTCTTATTCTCCATTTGGTCGGGAAATGGAGTACCTGATGAAATATTGATGGTACGGCCTTCATTTCATAGATCCAGGGCCTTCCCAAGATAACATTATGTGTCGAAGGACTATCCTCTACGAGGAATTGGGTGTGAAGGTTAACCCCTTCTGCAAAAACAGGCAAAACAATCTCGCCTAGAGTATTCTTTTGTTCACCACTGAAACCAATTAGCATTGTCGTCCGGCGTGTAATGTTTTCTTCTGGAATTCCCATAGCCTTAATGATCTCTAGGAAAAGTATGTTTGCACTGCCGTCGTTGTCTATCAAAGTGCACGTGACTAAGCAGTTGGCGATGTTCAAAGATATGACCAAAGCATCATGGTGTGGATTGAGTAGCTGCGTAGCCTCAGATGTTGTAAAGCTAATGATCTACGGTGTGTCTAACTGGCTTATTTAGCTTAGATTTTGATAGTGGTGAGTTGCTCGATGCGTGTGCGTTCATGTCGTCCCCCTTGTTATTCTACTAACTTCTGATCCGCCAATGATGAAGTTAATGGTTTGATCTTGTGATGGTTCGGCCGCTGGTTCAGAGCTTTGCTTACCGTGTTTTTGTTGTTGTTGTCTAGCGACATTCTCCTTTCCTTTATTAGTTAGAAGGTCCGTAAGACATCCCTGCTTCAATATTTCAGCTATTTCCAACCTCAAAGAAATACAATCATCTGTGCGATGGCCATGGTTGGCTTGAAATTCACACCATTTACTTTTATCTCGAAAAGCAGAAATGAAGTTTGTTGGTTGCAGCTAGGGATGGAAACATTCTCCCAGTTGAATCGTTCGACAAATTCCCGCAGTGACTCATTTCCTCTCTGCACTATGTGATAGAGGTCATCGGATCGCTTCTCAAGTTTTCTGTTACTTGCAAACTGTTCAACAAAAGTATCAGTTAGTTGGGCGAATGATGATATAGAATTATTTGGAATATTGGTATACCACTGTAGGGCCAGCCCCACTAGACCGGAGCCGAACCCTTTAAACATGCAAGCTTCTCGAAGGTCTCTTGGTATAGCGGCAGTAAACATTCTCTGTCTATATTGAGTTATATGATCGTCTGGGTTGGCTGTCCCAGCGTATAACTTCATATTAGGAAAGTTGGATTTTTGGGGCATTTCCACCTGCGCAATTTCGTCGATAAAGGGAGAGTCAACGAAACAACTGGCTACACTTTTCTTGATAGGCACCGACATCCCTGGGATACGTTGAATCATGGCTTTGATCGCTGCTAATTTTCGTACAAACTATGGGTCCTGTCCATTAGTAGGCTGTGGTTGCGCGTCTTCTGATCTTTCGTTATGCGGTGCGACAAATTGGACATTCAAACCAATGTTCCTAAGTCCATTTTGGTGAAGTAAAGGAGTCGGCCGTGATGCGTGTGGCAATATTGAATTAGATACCAAGGATTCCACTCTTTCTTAAAGGTCTCGATTCTCCACACGAAGGCAGTATTCTCCGCTTCTAGCCTTTCGAGCTTTTGTGAATTCTGTTTTGTCAACTGGATGAGTTGGGCTAGCTGTGCAGTGACTCCACTAGACGGAGTGGTAGGTTGAGGGTGTGTAGAGGCAGGATGGACAGTACTCTACCATTCAACTACCGACTGGATCGGATGGATCAGCTGGATAGTTGTTGGATGGATAGGACGAGCCAACGTTGGAGTGGTAGGCAGAGCGGCAGCATGACCTGAGCCGTCTCCTTGTTGGATTGTTGCTTCCACCTCCTGACGAATCATTCGTTCCACTTCCTGACGAGCTAATTCTTCCAAAGTATGATCAGCGAAGCCGTTTGTATGATGGGTTTCAGAAGTTGCTGACATGACGAAGATGATTGTCGAATAGTAATGATGAGAATCCCGTTTGTAAGAATGATTGTTAGGACCCCACGGTGGGCTCCAAATTGTAGACGGTATGTTCTACACCCAAGAAATCGGATCAGGTAGTCCACCAGCAATCCTGTGGAACTCAAGAAAAATAGAACAAAGGAAAATGATCGTGAAAAGATCCTAAAAAGACACCGGTGTGGTGTCGGCCGAAGACCCTCCGACGGTCAAGTCAGTAAATCTTATTGAAAGTTTGATAAATGCCAAATTGAAGAAAGAAGAAATGAATTAGAGTCTAGTGGATTCTGATACCTGAATACTTGACTGACTGTTGAATTTATAGGAGTGGGATAACCGTCTAGGAGGGATTGGCGCGGATGTTCCGAGATTTCGTGGTTGGTTGAAGTCAAATCTAATCGGATCTGTTCAGTTGAGATATCAGATTCGTTTGTAGATAATTCTCACCAGATCTGGATAGATCGTAACGTGATCTATCCAGAAGATAGATTATCGGTGATTTCGAATTGACATGTAGGTCATGGATTGTGTATTCGGGTTGATTGTTCTAATGAGTTCGGCCGATGATGGCGCTGTTAAATTGTATGTGGACCCTGTTATATGTTTGGGCCACTTGGACTAATTAATTAATTTTTACCACTACACTATTCACTACAAAGCAGGTTGGTATACATGCATTCCCACTTAATTATATTATAATAATTTTTTCATGGTGATTATTTGAAGTAATCATCATGCATTTTATGTTGATCACATGCACATGTTCTTTGCTTTATTTTTATTTATGTTTGCAAAATATATAAATTTATGATGATTAAAAATTTTTGTGTCTTTAACTTAATTAAATAAATTTAGATGTTCTATTATAAATTTTAAACTAATAATTTATCATATTGTTGTTCCTAAAGTAGCACAACATCGTACTTAATTTTAGATTTTCTATTATAAATTTTAAGCTAATTAATCTTTGATCTATCTATTATAAATAGTTTGTTGTACTCCTGAAGTAGCACATCGTTATAATTAATATTATTGAAGAATATTACTTGTTCTTGAAAAGGATGAATTATATTTTTTTAATACTCCAGAAGAATATTATTTGCTTCCTAAGAGTGTGAGTTATAATTTTCAATATTTCAAAAGAATATTGACATATTGATTAGGGAAAATTGTAGTCGAGATAACAAACCTTTCGTTTATTAGCAGATTTTGCCCAAACCTTTAGTTTGTGCCACTGTGAGTACCGAACCTTTAAAAAATATGCAATTCAAGTCCGTATTAACGGTTTCCGTCAGTTTTACCCGAAAAACTGTCAGTTGACTTCAAAAATTAAAAATATAATAATTTTGATCACATAAGGTAAGGGTAAAATTGTAACTCTATAATTTTAATATTAAAAAAACAATTAAAAAGGGGGGAAAAAAACCCATCTCCTCCTTCATCTTCCCCAATCCTCCATCTCTGCCGACAGCGACACCACATTCATAGTGGCACCTTTTGTGACCCCCCAAGGCTTGTCCGGTGGGGAAGCACCTGTGGTAGATGGAACACTCATGGACCCTCCCACTGCGGTTGCTTGCACTCGTGGAGGTGGCTGAAGCAATGATGGCGACAACAGAGGAGGAGGAGGTGGTGGTGGAGTATTCGTCTCCTCCACTCGAACAACTCAGTTTCCGTTGGCTGGCCTTGTGCCCTCCCAAAGCTTGGTAAGACCCAAAAGCTTTATCACAAACTGAACATTTGTACACCAATTTTATCGAATCATCAGATTTGATCAGGTGTGGCGGTGGTGGTAGAAGACTAGTTTGCTTTTGCTGCTGAATGGCGACGGGTTTTGATGCTGAACCGTCGTCACCTCGAGCAAGCATAATAAGGCAGAGAGCTAAGTATTCTTCTTCAGTGGGCTGATAATGGCGTTTGACGCTGCGTTGACGCTTCGATCTCTTGCCTTTCATCCATGGCTCGAGATAGCGTAGGGTGGCGTTTTCGAACTGAAACGCCAGAGTTGGAGCCATAGTAGAAGGAGAATTCAATGCTTCAAGTGCCATTACTGAACTAAAATTTGGAGAAATTGAGAAAGCAGAAAATTGAATTATGAGAAAAGAATGGGTATGGGAGAGTGGTGGGTGGTTTTGATTTTGGGGTGAGGGGATTGGGGAAGATGAAGGAGGAGATGGGTTCCCCCCCCCCCTTTTAATTGTTTTTTTAATATTAAAATTATAGAGTTACAATTTTACCCTTACCTTATGTGGTCAAAATTATTATATTTTTAATTTTTGAAGTCAACTGACAGTTTTTCGGGTCAAACTGACGGAAACCGTTAATACGGACTTGAGTTGTATATTTTTTAAAGGTTTGGTACTCACAGTGGCACAAACTAAAGGTTTGGGCAAAATCTGCTAATAAACGAAAGGTTTAGTACCTCGACTGCAATTTCCCTATTGCTTATGAAAAGCCTGAATTACAGATTTTAATATTTCAAATAAAGATATTGATTTCTTATTGCTGGAGAAATAATAGTAAAATATAAAGTACTAGTGAAGAAGTACAACTATGCAAATATTAATATTTTCTTAGAAGGTATACTCATGAAGAGTTAATATTTTTAAACAATAATTTATTTGTGATCCTAAAGTAGGACAATATTGTTAATACTTTAAAAGACTATCATTTCTCCTGAAGTAATATACTATTATCGACAGATATTTTAGTTAGATTTTACTTGATCCTGAAAGCATAATTAAATATTATTTAACGTAAATTTTGTTTTCTACTTCTGAAGAGTGAATTCTTATATAATTTATTATTTTGAATAATAATATGTTATTGCTCTTGAAGAGTATGATATTATGATTCCAATATTTCAGAAAAATGTTGATATTACTCTTAAAGAAGCAATAATAAAAATAACGTGCTCTTGAAATGACACATTTTTAAAGAATATGATGATGTGTAATTTATGAATTTGTGTTTATCCCTGAAAGAAAACATAAGACTTATGTCATGTAGACAGTGATCATTATATGATTATATAATGTTCAATCATATTCTTCGGAATAAAATAATTGAATTATATTTTATACTGAACCAGAAGTTCAATTCAACCTTATTGTTTGGAATGACCAATTGGATCATCACTAAATTAATAATGATACAAAATTAAAAATTCAAATGAATATTCAATGAAAAATTGGGAAGTTCTTCAATTCAATCCTATATGATGTTTATCGTCTTTCATAAAATTTTTTATTAACCATCACTAGCCAAAATAGGTACGATTTTCCTATATTTCTGAAAATTAATTATGGTGATAAATGGGCCTTATCATTCTCCACGTTGATTATCTAAATATTATTTGTGTATAATACATTCCATATATATACTAGATGATTGCATGGTATTCGCAATCGGGAGTTTACGAAATCACTGCTCAAATTTAAAACTATAAACATAATTTTCAGAGTATATAATTAAGACAGTGTCCTATTAATACTAATGATTCTAAAGCTCAACATTTTAAAAAGTATTAGTTGGAATGTCAATAAATGATTTATCACTATTATTTGTTAAATTTCCCCAATTAATTAAGAACAAAGTTCTTTCTGAATTTTGCGAAATATTATTACACATCATGCCAATATTATAGTTCCCGTCTTTATAATTGGCTTATTATCATTGCTTAATTTATTTATTAGATTATCTGATAGTGCAATTAATCTACCACATTACAATGAGATGAAAAGTAAAGAATACTGAAAAAATGTGTAGTTTTAATCCTTATCTCAAATTGGTGATATTTGATAACACAATTTACTAAGGCTGTGTTTGATAGGCATGAATTCCATGAAAAATGGAATTTGATTTCCACCCAAAACCAAATATGGATGTTTGATAGGCTTTTTCTAAAGAATTTATTTTCCCACTTTGATACCACCTAAGCCATGTTTCACCAAATTGAGGAAAATGAATTCTCACCAAATTGATGAGAATTCATTTTCAAGGTTGCTAGCCAGTTTTTTTTTTCGTTTTTTTGTTCTTGGCAATGGAAACAAATTTTATCCTTAATTGTAAAAAAAAAAATCATTTAATTGACAGTTTTCATGTAAAACAAAGTCAAACGAATATCAAAAGATAGATGATTTTTTTTACAAGGAAATAAATTTCATTTTCAATATCAGTAAATTCTATCCCTTTAATTGACAAATTTCATATAAAATAAAGTCAAACGAACACCAAAAAATACTTTTAGTTTAAAATTTTTCACGTGAAAAATTATATCAATCAAACACAATAATTGACAATTTAGGTTAAAACAATTTTTAGGCAATTCAATTTCCTAAAATTCGTTTTCTTTACATTCAAATTTCATCTTTGCAATCAAACAGACCCTAATTGTCAATTTAATCGGACAATTCTCTCAACATTAGGAGGAGGACTAAAGAGATTGAAAATAATGTGCGAATGCATAATCAAATAAATCTTCACAAAAGGATTCAAGCTGAAAGTTCAAAAGATAATTTATTTAGATGTATTTACTAACCAAAGAGATAACAATATCTTATGCACCAGTTTAAAATGCTCCGACACTAATTGATGTCTTAGGAGGACAATTTGATAGCATTATATTTGACATATTTATGACACTTGAAGCGTGATAGTGTTCGATTCTAATACAAAAGAAAATCTCCAAAACGAAAATGGAGCAATTAACTAGATGGTTTCAATAAGGAGTCATATACTTTTGATGAGTATTTAGACATAACAAATTATAAAATCTTAGAAGATGTTCAAGTACCTTATATGTTAAAAATTAAAATATCTCAATAAGTTATGTTGTTATAGAAAAGAATTAGAATCGAAAAGGAAAAATTGTCGACAATACTTTTGTACATGATATATTATATCATATTATGAATATCGAGGATATCGAAGTAAATTTGTCATCAATCGTAGTAATAACTGGCCAAATAAAATGACGCAATCCTATTAAAATAATTTATTGGAGAAATTTGATATTTTTGAACGTGACCCTAATAAAATTGAATTTACTAGAGAAACCTGAAGTTTCGGGATCTACAGTCGAACATCAAAAGGTTTATACTTATGCAAAATGAAAATGGAAAAAGTAAAGTTGTAATATGAAATGTACGACTTTTTACATAATAAACGTCACGAAAACTTACATAAATAGATGGACTTTTTAATTTAAATGAATAAAAAAAACTAATACACGCGTAGGTGATTTTTTTTAATGATGCTTAAAGTGTTATGATTCACGAGTTTATCATAACCATCCCCTTAATCTCAATCAACAATTTTTTTAACAATCAATTATGTGTACTCAATCAAATTCTTCTAGATTAGTTGATTTACCTTTCTCAAGTTTCAAAACAATCCTACCCAATTATGTCATCCCACCATATCTCTATGTGAATACGAATAAACTTTAATCAATAGTATTCAATTTCTAAAAATCCATATTGTGACAACCATAAAAGCATATCCATGCCCTTTTATTCAAATTGCAGATTTTTATTACGTGGTATAAATAAATAACTCGCTTCCTGGCATGATTTTCTCTCACAAATCCGTGATTTAGTGATCAAGTAATTCAAAACATTAATAATAAAAGTAAAAACAATTGACAAGATCAATTATGGATTAAAATTTTATAATTAAAATTAAGGTTCAAAATTAGGTTACAAATTGTTCATTCTAACAAAATATTTAATTAAACATCATGAGGAAAGTAAAACACAAGAAAAAATTAGAGTATATCACCGGATTTTTTGGAAAATTTGAAAAAAGATGAAGTTCTTGTACCGTGAATCTGCATTCTTCTTATAAAAATCTTAAAACCTGGATTTTTTTATTTTTTTTTATTGATTTTTCAATTTTTCCTCTCTTTTTAGGTTCTATTATCTTGTAATTGATACGACTTTTGTGCCCTAATAGTCATTTGGCTTGTATTATTATTATTTTTTTATAATAGATCTCCACAAGTCTGCTTCAATTATTGGACTATTGTATGTATTTATAAACTAGGTTTATGTCGAAGTCTTTATTCCAATTGGTTTTTCACAATGAGTTTGAGAAGAGAAAATAAACAAATTCCCTTTTAATTTGATTCCTTTTCTCATGCAATTTTAGTCCTCCATCTTTTAATATTTACAATTAAATCATTTTTGTTTAAAAATTATTAATAATTAACCTGATGCAAGTTCTAGAAGATTACAATTTAGTCCCCCAACTTTTCAAATATCAAATTTTTATCAAATGCTTCATTAACACTTCTACTTGATCTTGATCAATTGCAATCTGATTAATCTTCAATGCTCCAAATCAACCCAAGTTAAGCTCCAAATTGTACCTTTTTCACATCAATTGCAACTAATTTGAGATTTTTCTTATAATTAACATAATTTACACAAATGACCGCTCAATTTATATATAATGAATAAGAATAATCCCAAATAAATGCATTAGGAACGTGCCACGTGGTAGCCAATGGCAATCAAGAAATAGCAAGAAGCTACTCGAGGCTCGCATTCCATGTCACTTCGCCTACCTGACTTATCCAAGTCTATCATGGTACGAAGCCGAAGTAAATTAAGCACCTCAACCGACACAAAATTATAGAAGCCGAACCTCCATATTCAAAGCAAGTTACCACAAGTTTTAACAATGGAATTCCAAATCGATGAGAATTTGTTTCACAACGGCATATTCCATACTATTGCTCCAGCCTAAAGATCTTCCATATGAGGATCTTTCGTACATGTGATTGATTTGATAGCTCTACAGCAAGCAACCTTTGATCAACTTTTTGAGTGACATGTCTAGGACATATGTTGACCACTTTTTAGTTCGTTTAAGGTCACCCTTGACACAAAACAGATAGGTATGATGCCTACAAGGTTTGACCAATGAACCATTAAAATTAGGTCATGTGTCATACATCCAACATAACCAACTATTTTCTTCCAATGTAAAAGTTCACAATTGGTGTCATCCAAAGGTAATGCTATTTCTACACTTCACTAGTAAGAATTGCTTGGTAATTTGTCTTCAACCCAAAGGTAATGCTATTTCTACACTTCACTAGTAAGAATTGCTTGGTAATTTGTCTTCAACCCAAATCCATCTATACTTTGCTCTCATTTATTGCCCTTTCAAACCCATAATAATTTTCAACCATTGATTGCGTCGGAATACCCACGGCATCCTCCCTCATCATTGAAGAAGAGGCCACGTGCATCTTATAAAACTTTGTTCAAATGTGTCGGAACTTAGCATGTTTCCAGGAGTGAACCTGGGATATGTTAGCTACATGTTCCCACATATGTGACTTACTAGTTAATGCCGTCTATGTCCACATTGACCTTTAGCATTGCCGCGTAGCATTTTCAGTTAATCCCTTTCTCCAAGTAACTAATAGTGTAATATTAGAAATTTAAATGTCACCTACATTTAAAGAAAAAAAATTATTTCAATGACTATTTAGAATTTTTAACAATCTTCAGTGACACTGTGGTTGAAACTAACCCATGGAAAAATAATCATAGGGCTTGTTCTGTAATGATTATGAAAGTTGAGTTTTTTATTTTTAGAGAGAAAAGTAGGTTTTACCTGTGAAAAAAGAAATAAAAAATGACGACAGATTTAAGTAAGTAACGATCAAAAAATTAATTTTTTTGGATGAAAAAATTCTTATATAATAATAGATGACAGCTCAACATTCTGTTTCATTTACCGGTGATTTGATATTATTTTGTTAATTTTTAAATGTTCTTTAACAAATTTCATGAATTGACGGACCATCATTGTTTTAAGTGCATTCAACAACTACAAATAAATATATATATGAAATTTGTTTCATCTTTACTCTATTTACGTCTATGATGATTCAACCACGTGTTGATAATTAAAACTTGTAAATTTAGGTATCCGATGATGAAAAAAATAGTCATGCTAAGTTCTTTTGGTTTTGTTAAAAATCAAATGAAAGCTAATGATTATGTAATTGAAAAATTGATGAAAATTCAGAGTTCAATAAAATATAATTATCAAAGACCCTCCATGTGCTTAACGGACTTCTATTGAAGAGAAAAGTCGCGCACGCTTGTTGAAGCTTATAAGTAATTACGTAAGTTTTACGATAATATTCTTTTATTGATTAAAATTCTTTGTCCGTTTAGTAATGCAGTCAATGGCTAGAAGGTCATGTTCGATTCATCGCGCCTCATCGAAGGCAAGTCTACGCACTTGTTTGGCAAAGCTTTTGTCAAAATTAATAGTACTTTTTGAACCGTTATAAAAAAAAGTGTGAGAAGGAAGTCAACGAAATACGGCGGGCAACGGATAGAAAAACAATTAAAAAGCATTAGGATTTCACGCTTTTACAAGTCTCTTTCAATACTTAAGGTTATCAAACTGAGTTAATTGCATAGTCAAGAGGAACTAAGTGCTGGTGATCGGAACGTGGAGAACTCAGGCCGCGAAAACAGACATGCCCTAAATATAATTAAGCTCGATCGAAGAAAGATGATCATAAAATTGTCATCATTATATTTCTATCTTTCCCTTCATAAATGAGGAATGGAAAATATTATTCAATTATATATATATATATATATATTCTCCTTTTTTTTTCAATGCTAAATCGTTTTGGATGATCGGTAAAGAAATAGTACCGTGAGGAACGAGTAAAAAGAAATCCCATCAGGGAATGAAATAGAGCATGAAATCGTAATCTTCCAAGTAGTGGGAGGAGCCGATGTCTAATTGCTTGCTAGTTGAAGAATGCGCCAACGACTCGTAGGCAATGACTTGATTAAGGAAACGCACCAACATCTTAGCGAAAACAAGTTTTCATACGACATTTGTTACTGTTTATAGATTCAAATTAATTGTTGACTTTGATTTAGATTTCTATCAATTTTTTAACTACATCAAAGGAGGACTAAATGGTTCAAGACTTTGCAAAAAATTGACATTTGAAAATCATACTCATTTTCAATTACACATTTTTAAAAAATGATGACTTTACTCGAACACTAAATGCCAACTTACCGTTCTATCATTACTTTTTCACTTCGAAAAATAGCTAACAAATTTCATTATGATTTGAGTGACCTTCACACGTAATTGGAGTAAAAAAGAAAAAAAAAATTGTGCAAAAGAAAAGTAGAAACCCCATCAAGAAAAGCACCTTCAAGGAGAACAGCACACCCCCAATGCCTCGATCCCACTCTTTCTCTGTGCGTGGCAAAATTTAGAAAAAAAAGAAAATTCGCATATTTTTCACTGACAACAAAGTCGAACCCATCACAGATAAAACTCGTCAAGAAAAACCCATGTAGTACTATCGATAATGTATAATAATTGATCTAGAAACTCAAAGAAAGAATTTTTATTTTTTGATTTGCAATAATGGAATCTAGCATTGAATGCATCTCATCCTCTGAAGGGATGAATGAAGATGAAATCGCCCACCCCCATCCATATTCTAGGTTTTCTTCTTCGAAACAATCTAATAATCTCAACGGTATGGTGATTAATCCCGCTACCAGTGTCCACGAGCTTCTTGAATGCCCAGTTTGTACCAATTCTATGTACCCTCCGATCCATCAGGTTATTTCTTTTTCAATTTTGATTGATTTTTTGTATGCTAATTGTATTAAAGATTCAATCTTTTTTTGGGGGGAATTTTGGCAATTGCTGTGCTAGAAGTGACGAGTTGATTTATTGGTTTTTGAAAATAAGGAATAAATGGGTATGGCAAAATTATTTTGGAATAGTTAAATTGCCTTAAATTTGGGAAATTGGATTTTCGAGTATTATCCAGCTGAATGAATTGATTTTATTTTTTTTTAAATTGTGATCTATATGAATGTTTATCTTCCATGTTTTTGGGTCAAGGTAAGATGAAACAATTAGTTTGGTTCTGAGGATGGTGATATTTACAAAATTTGGGGGTTTTGCTGGTCATCAGTAAGTATGCTTATATATGTTTCTCAGTTGGAATATAAAAAAAACTATATTTTTGAAGAAGATTCATAAAAACTAGGACAGATTATTCATGAATGAATGTTGTTGAAGCTTGAAAGATAATATGTATGATGCGGCATACTAGCATTAGGCCTGATGTATTTTCTTGACCCTGAAATCGACCTGAATGGATGATCCATGTGAGTTCAGCTCAAACACACCATAAGGTAGATTTTTCCTTTCCCAAGATTTCATTCTCTTTGGGACCCAGGCCTGAGGTATTGCAATTCTGCTAATGTAAATGATATTCGAACAATAACTAGGGAATATATATGATGGTCGAATTGCATGGTGAAGTGAACAGAAGAACCAGACACAGATGTTAGGTGTGATGATGATTTATCCAAATGCTTCTATGTTTTTTGAATATGAAGAACTGTACACATCTCGTGCCTTTTTTGGTGAAGTCGGTGTGATTTTCCTATAGTCTCTCTTTTGCTGAATTTCGCACTTTCTTATTCATTTTGGACTTGGGCTAGCTATTTTCTATCTGTGGGATGTCTCTCCAAGTTTTTGCATGGAACAAAACCGTACATTCCTCACACCTTGTGGATTAGCAGACTAATTGCATAATCCTTAAGTAGAACTACTCAATGTTGTGATTATTGTTGTTGTACAATTTTTTCATCTTAAATCAAATTTGATTAGGGAGTTGTTTTAGCATCAAGTTCTGTTTTTAACTGCAGTGCCACAATGGGCATACACTCTGTTCCACCTGTAAAGCTAGAGTTCACAACCGATGTCCTACTTGTAGACAAGAGCTTGGTGATATAAGATGTTTAGTGCTAGAAAAGGTGGCTGAATCGCTTGAAATTCCTTGCAAGTATCGTTCCTTGGGATGCCCTGAGATCTTCCCCTATTACAGTAAGTTGAAACACGAGGCTCTTTGTAATTTTAGGCCTTACAACTGTCCCTATGCTGGATCGGAGTGCTCTATTGCAGGAGATATTCAATATCTGGTTGCTCACTTGAAAGATGATCATAAGGTGGATATGCATACTGGAAGCACATTTAATCATCGCTATGTTAAATCAAATCCGCGAGATGTAGAGAATGCCACGTGGATGCTGACTGTGAGTATTTTCTTTTCACTTCCTTTTATTTGAACTAATCTCGTTTCTATTATTGAAATAAGGCTCTCTAACAAATATGATCTTTGAAGGAACATTACTCAATATGCTCTTTACAAGGCTCATAGCAGGCAGTAGTCACCATAACCATAAGATTTGCTGTAGGTTTGCATTGAAATTTCATTGAGATTTGAACATTTCCAGCAACCTATACAATGTAATTGATGCGGTGGATTGTCAACAACTTGTTGATTCAATTGTGAATCTCTCAATATATTTTTTTCAAATTTAAAAAAGCCAACCAACACAGAGAACCCGAACTGTTTGTTTTATTAAAACCCTATAATGAAATTGATAAGGAACCTCCAAATCTACAAATAATATCAACACACACAAAATGTCAAGAATTAAAATAATATAAATAAATAAAATATAAAGGACCGTCCGTTTGCATTGCCGTGCACCCATTTTCAACTTACAATGTCGAGCCCTGTCTCACTTGCCTTCACCTTGTGTATCAGTGGCCGATCCCAATGGTTGACATATTCCTGAATCTTGACTCCGTTTGCATCAGTACTGAATCCAAGTGTTATAGAACAGGTTGCTAATGTAAATGTCTAAAGACCAGATTTTTTGCTACGTGAATTGGAAAAATGAATTCCATTCAAACTGTGCTGATGTTATTTTTTGTTTTCTTTTCTTTATCCACCAGCATTACATTTGATATTGTTCTACATCTCGAAAACAAATTTACTCTGAACATAATTTTGTGTCTTCATGAATCATGAATGTTGAATGTATTTCCATCTTCCTTTTTTCCTTTTTTAGGTTTTCCATTGTTTTGGTCAGTATTTTTGCCTACATTTCGAAGCTTTTCAACTGGGTACTGCTCCTGTTTACATGGCTTTCCTCCGATTCATGGGAGACGAGATAGAGGCTCGAAATTATAGTTACAGCTTGGAAGTTGGTGGAAATGGTCGGAAACTTATATGGGAAGGCACCCCTCGTAGCATCAGAGATAGTCACATAGAAGTTCGAGACAGCCATGATGGCCTGATTATACAGAGTAACATGGCACTGTTTTTCTCGGGAGGAGACAAGAAAGAGCTTAAGCTTCGTGTAACAGGACGAATATGGAAGGAACAGACAAACCCAGATGGTGGAGCATGCATACCCAATCTCCGCAGTTAAGACTGCTCGTGCTCGAGTGTATCTTCAACATTCTGGAAAAGGTGTACGTGTATCTGGTCAAGTTTTCAGTTCGTTTCCGAGCTTACCCATCCACTTCTGCTGATATTGTAAGAACAACGCCATCTACCTTGGAAGCTGGTGTCACTATATGTTTGTATCCTTTTCACTTGCTAATCATTCCCACAAGCGGGCATCCTCTCGTGCAATATGTAGAGAGTTTACAAATTTGTGCTGTATTCAGTTCAAGTATTTTCTTTATTTTGAAGGAATGTTAATTATTCCAAACTGCATTATGTATCAGTGTGCTATTTGTTGGAAACAAAATCAAAAGTAAAATCAGCTTTTTTGAAAGTTAGAAACTGTGTTGAAACTGGCTTCACTTGCTCAGTTGCTCTTCAAACGACTTGCCATTTTCGAACCTGTTATTCTTTATTTACCTTCTTTTTTTTTTGGGGTGCAAATCTGGGCTAGCTACAACATAAAATTGCCCTCCCGGTGAGGAAGATGGGGAAAATGGTGTTCGAAATTCAGACTGGCTCGAATAATCATTTTTGACTGTGCACCTTCGTTTTGCAATCCTTGTCTCCTAAAGACGCTGATTCTAAATCGTAGTACTCTATGCACCTTATCGTCTAGAAGAAAGCTTTCATTGGCGTTGTTTTACCATTAAGAGAAATTTCCATTGACTATAAATAAAGGAATTGACGGGATCAGAACACGAACGACCTTTACCTTAGTGTAATATGATAGCATGTTTATAAATAGGGGCTCTTCTATCAGTGGATCTATGAATTCATCTGAGTTATAGAGGATCTATCTGAGTAGGGGCGAACGTTTGACAACCGTTCGAGCGATCGCCCAATATATGGCAAAAAAAAAAAAAAAAGGATTTCCAGTGGAGCCAACACTGGCGATCACAATAGCTCGACGGGTATTGTTCCACCACTGCCTCGTATGCCCAGTGTCGCTGGCTCACGGTCATGCTGCAATATCATGAAAACCCTATCCCTTTTGAAATAAAAGGATCATAATATTCCATACCACACGCGGGTTTACAGTTTGTACTTTACCACAATGATCATAGTCAGCTCATTTCAAAGTCCAACATACTACCAAAATCACCTGAAGAAAGAACTCACTAGACAAGAACAACAGGAGCACCACTCACATTTCAACATAATGATATTTTTTGGATTGAATTTCGATAATTACGGTGAAGAAGTCACTAATCTCGGAAAAATTGAGAGCTCCTAATGACTGCTCAGAGAGTTATGGAGAAAGTAAAGACACTCTTGATCATGATTGACTATAGTGACCATTGAATCGTTGAACTTTAATGCCAAATGCCATGTTCGGCAAGAGCAAACACCATCATTGAAAAAAAAAAAAATTAATTTTGCTTATAAACACTAAATTAAATAAACTATAAATCTGAGAACGAAATCGTATCACCATAACTATGAACTGTATAAAACCGAAATTTTATGACATTTATCTCTTCTATATTTCACATGGCTGGTGTCCGGTCACCTTCAGACAACTTGTCCTCTCAAGAGTTTTAAGCACAAGCGAATACATTGCACAAAGGGAAAATAAAACAATAAGTTGTTATATCAGAACAGAGTCCCAATGGACCATCTTCCAATAATTTATAAGTTACAAAGTTCAATATTTACCCGTCTGGTTCGTTGTCAGGACCAGAAAACTAAAAATTCTAAAAATAAAAAGTTGCGATGTTTATGCTTCTGAACAAGAAAGACCGAAGACTAATCAACTAAAAGGTGGAACAAAAGTCCAGGCATTTTAAGCTGTACTCAAACCTCTCTTAAAGTTATTTTCCAGTTAGAAACTTCAACTTCAAGAGTAAAATGTAAAGAATCAGAAGGGAATTAACCTCCAAATTGAATAACATTTACAACTACTAATATGTTAATATGTGCATGGATTTCCCGGTGCTCCATCATTAGATGATCTCCTCAAGACGGCGATCCATTATGCAAGAGATGGGTTCAAGGAGTGCAGCTTCACTCGAGCAAGGGAGCACAGAATCCAGAGCTTCTTGAACAATCTCCTCCATCATGGATTCCTTCTTCACGGTTTTTCTGCACATGATGTTGCCTATGGCAAATGGGGTGAGCCCCAACTGAGCACCTTTCTTCAAAAGCATGGTTGAAATGCGAAGTATGCGAGCACACTCAAGAGGTAAGTCCCATCCATAGAACTTGAGCAAGGCAATGTCTTCCTCAGCATCCAGTGACTTTATATACTCAAGGGTGTTGGTGCTGAAAGGCTGGCGGGCCTGTGGCCAGTAGAGCCAGTCAAATGTGCAATCCTCGAACTGCAGCAAGGACAAAAGAGAATAAGAAATGCTGATGAATGAAAGATGGATAACACGTAGAGATGACATTTAATAAGGCACAAGGCTTTCATTTGTAGAAATTCATTTAAAGCACACGCAGATCACTTAAGAACGAGGAAATTCCAACGGCCATGATCCTAGTGAATCACAGAAATGATGATGGCTGCAACCAAGCTGAAAACTATAGATAGCTATTGTGAAAATCCTCCATATAGCTCATTGGTCTTCACAGGGAAGCAACTAGAGGGAGAATTTAGTTAGCTGCTTGGTAAAAAATTCTGAAAGTTGATTGACACCAAGAAAAAAAAGGGATACTGTGGACTCAAAATTCTATATACTGAAACATACTCTCTTGTTGATTGAAGAAGACAAACTTCATAAATAAAACTTCACTACAGTCGAACACAATCTCTTCGAGCCTTGCACTACTCTACTTGTGTCAATGTGACTTGTGGGTAATGCACAATCAGAGATAGCAGAAGACCAAAATGCATATTTTGTAATAATATTCCCCTTATTGACAAATATGAATATTGATGGATATTAGGTTATGTCTTTGTACTGTGTGCCTCTTTTTGTTCCCTTTCAGTCTACATGTATCAGGTCAAATTATTGTCACCAAAGAAAAAGCCAAAAAAATATCCCAAACAGTAATGCAGCAGGATTCTGGACCATGTCATCATTCGAAATGCACTCACATGTTCCTAATAAACAATCATATACATCAAACAGCAATAGTAGTGTACGAAAATTTCTCCAGCTTCAAGAACAAGGTTCAAATCACGAAATAGGCAAATTTTAATTCTGAAAAATAGTACATTATGGTAGTGAGGGACTCACAACACACTTAACAAATCACATAATTAGACATATAAAAAAGCTACGAACCAGTACATTTGGGTGTGCATGGAGTTTCAATAACCAAGTAAAACTGACAGTAAAAATTAAGAATGAAAAGCAAGAAAGCGGTCTTACACTATCAGGCAAACAGTAGCCATGATCAATTGGTATTAGCACAGTTTGGCCATCTTGGCCTTTGCTGACCAATATATTCCCAGCATGCCTATCTGCATTTGCAACTCTCATATCCAAAACGGCAATCTTGTGTACCTCCTCAACTGGAAAGGCACCAGGACCCATGTCCTCACAACTTCCATCGTTCTCCATGAACATTTGCAAGGACCCAATTTTGGCAGTCACACCTTTGGGATGATTAAATCCATTGTGCAGGCACGTAACAAGAACTGTAGGAGGAACACCTGCAAAGCCTCTAAGCTCACCAGAAAAAGAGCGGCGGCCACTCTTTGGATGATCCAACAAGTAGACAGCACATTCCCTGATTGCACCCTGTCCAACTCTTGTCCCCTTCTTCAACCCTTCGCCATCCTCTGACAAAGGAAGCCCTCTGGGGTTATTCATGGCCATAGGTTCCTCATCAATCGGCTTAAACACAGATAAATACTTACTCCCAGATGCATCCAGCATAAAATATGCTCCCCCAGTGCCCTCCAAAGACCTAATTGGATAATTCCTGCTATATAAGCCATCTCGTGTTGAGTCAATCCAATCCCTAATCTCTCGAGCCAATTGAATTTTGGGGTTAACAACTACAGGCTCCAATAACATATCTCTACCTGGAGACTTCCTTGGGACGTAGAGATTATGTTCAGTTTCCTTTTGGCGGCCATGCCTATTTTCCATATCCACATCATACTCCCTCTCGTCATTCTTCTGTGGGGCAACGATAGACAACTCGAAGTTCTTCTCCACAGGTCTACCCCTAATTTTCACTGACTTTCGCACAAATAAATGGATCACAGCATCATTGTTATCCTTACAGATATCATTAATCAACCTCTTATCCTCGACTGGCTCACCATTACAGAAAACCTCCTGATCATCAATAGACTCCAAATTTCTATTCTTTGTTATTTGATGCTTAATGTAACCAATATCCTGACTCCTCTCAACATGAAAGGTGAACTCTTTCCCACAACAAGTCCTCACATTAATGACCTGAAGGTCAGAGAGTCGCAGGACCAAATGCAAAACATTTCCATCAATAACCCCATAGTCTCGAACCAGCGAGTTGCTTCTCGCCAGCTCCCTGCCCTTGCATACCAATTTTTGGTTCTTGACTACAAACCCTTTACAGGTCTGGATCCTGAGCTTGACAGACTCAATGGAGTCCGACTCCAGGACCTGCATTGGAACCTTAGACCCCGACATAGCCACATATATCAAAATCGACTCTTGACAGTCCGCAGCCGGAGGGAGTTGTGAAAAAATCATAGACTCCTCACATGCCGGCCTAATTGCAATTATACCAGCTGAAGACATCCCTAAGATTTCCCTTTATTGAAATTACAAGCCCTAATAAATAAACAAAACCCTAAAAACAAACCACCAAATCTTTACATCATATTTGTACACAACATCACCGTCCTCACCTCTAATAACGTACCAAACAATAACCAAATGGCAGCAAAAGAAAATATCAACTAAAATACCTGCCACGAACCCAAAGGATTCGTGAAAGGCACTTTATTAATTCCAATCGAGAAAACGTAAATGGGAATGTTACAGAGTTGAGAGGAATCCGTAGCGTGAGAGCGTGAGGCGAGGGATTCTTACCAGAGAGCAAGAACCGAGGAAAAAATTGTGAATGTCGAAGGTGATAAAGGAAGAATCAGGATCGGCGATGAATTTCGGACTGGTAATCCGATTTCCACGGCACAAAAATAGCAATGGATAGAATTTAAAGCTCTGGTTTTTGTGTATAGAGGACAACTCGGGTTTGGTTTGGTTGGAGAAGAAGAAAGCAATGCATTTTGGCCGTCGAATATTTGCACAGAGCACTGAATTTACGACTTTGACGGAGAATTTTTGCGAGTAAGGACGCGTTTGGAATTTCTCTCCTTTTCACCGAATTTTTTAATAAACAGAAGCTTCGGATGAGGGGACCAAAAAAAAAAAAAAAAGGAAGGAAGGTCATGGTAAATTCATTTAGAGGTCCCCCAACCTTTCCATTTGTACCACATCAAGTCCCCAACCTTCTGCTTGGGTAATTCCTATCTCCAATCTTTTAAGACAAGAAATCATTTTCTCCGCGAGTTTATATTTGTCCAAAAGTTTTTCAAAGTGGAAGAATATTATTTATGGACAATTCTACCGATCATAATTTATCATGTGCCTATCACGTACTCTTTTTTTTTTTTTTCTAATCTAAAAAGAACATGTCGTGGACACTATTTAAAAAAACAGGATGTGGATTGACATAGAGCCACAAGAGGAGGTTGGGGACCATTTAAAATTTGCGCTTTGGTTGATCTAGAGATAGCAAAATAACTCGCCCCGTCCCACTTTGATGGGTTGGCGGGACGGGGCGGGGGCCCCGTCTAGGGTTACGGCGATGGGGCATCCCCTCCCCAAACCCACCTAATAAAAAAAATTGATTCGATTTTTAAAATTTTGAATTTGTATTTTATTCTTTAATAATAGTATAAATTGAAATTGTGAAAATGTTTATATATATAAAGGGTACGGGAACCCGGCCACTGCCATCTCTAGGTTGATTGAGTCCTCAACCATTTTCTTTTAGTTTTTAGATTCTTAATCTTTCAATTTAGATGCACGTCGACAAAAAAAAAAGGTATACCCTTATTTTATTTGATTAATTGTAAATCACCTCTCTCTCATACTAATTTTTAGCCGCATATTCTTCAGAAAATGATTGTATTTCATATTTTTCCTTAATTTTTTTGAATTTCCGATCACAAAAATGGAAGCTAAGAAGGGTTAGCGGGGAGCAACCCGATACTTATACGAGAAGAGAACACCTACCGATAATAGTTTGTAAATAATGGTTCTTATGACTTGATTATTATTGGAATAACAAATGTTCTCAAATATTCCACTATCATCGTCATCATTTCATTTCATTGTGATTGATTATTCTTATTTTTCTCTAACTCTTGACTTACCAATGACCATAATAATTCCCAAATTAACAAACTTCAGTTTCCTTCGCTCAAAGATCAAAGCTTATAATACTCATTTTTTCCTTCGCGTAGTTCTCGTCTGTGTAAGAATTTAAACTACTTCTCTTACTTAGGTTAATCTTTTAAGATAAAACTTTAAATTTTAATATTGTATCAGAGGTTATTAAATTTTAACGAAGGAATTCATCGGATTAAGATTAAAAAAATGAGTATTATAAATACGTAGTGGTATTAGAAAATTTAAAGTACGAAATTTTATTTAAAAAGTAAAACAAGATGGAAAAGATGAAACTTCTCGACGCCCTCAAATTTATAATTTATTTTATTTTATTTTATAGAATGTTAAGTTTTAAAAAATATTTGTGGACTTTCAACGTAAACAAAGTCTGCAGTTGATCACCTACAATTTATAATTTATTCCTAGAAAATGCCATGCCAGTGCACACTGTGTTCGGAATAATGCGACTTTTTTTTTTTTTTGTTTATCAATTTCTTTGAATTCAACAACCCCGTTGTTAATTAATCATAATTAATTAATTAATTACGTCGTTTATGTCAAACTACAGAATTTTCGTGTTTCCTGGGTACAATAATAATAAATCAAAAAAATAAAAATAAAAGTAACTCAAGCATAGAACACACGATATAACATGATAAATTCTTATAGAAAACATTGATGAGCTCCATGTCACAGTTAAATAATCCACTATAGAAAAATGATATTAATTCAACAATATAAAAGTGACCAAGCGAACACGTTTTCTTTAGATTGTGATTAAACTATTCAACATATGATGATTAAAGCATTGAAACTCATAATTTTGTCGTAATTATCACCTT